CATGCCAACAACGATGGTGCCGGTATCCAGCAGCGTTTATTGAGTACCAGGGGTCCCCAACAAGACACTGCGGTCAAGCGAGCCGCCGCGGACACAGTGCGCCCGCATCGCCCGCCGACCTGAGAGCCAAAGGGGTAATTGCGAGCGGAGTCATCGCCGGTCGGGCGAGCTCACGCCGCTACCCGTCGTCGCAGGAGTTCGGGGCCAGGGCTCTCGGCAGACGGACGTCCACAGGTTGTGGGGACGCCGACTGTCAGAGCCCGGGGAATCACTAGCGTGGAGTCATCGCCGGTCGGACGATGCTCGCGCCGCGACTCGACCCGTTGCCCGGAGTCCAATCCAGGACTCCTCGACCACACGGCCGTCCACTCGGAGGGCAGGCCCGACTCTCTCCCGCGCGATGTCGCTGTTCCCCCGAAATCGGGGAGACGCGCGGAGGAGTGCGAGAGAGCAGGTCAGCATGGTGACGTAGTCTCTCCGACACGATACGGAGCGACCGGGCTCGAAGCCTCGAAGTCAAACGGCTTCGCCCGGAGCGTCCTCGGCTTACGCCTTCTCGGGGGAGGGAAACCAGTGGCTCCCACAATCAGTGGTCGTGCTTATAATAGAAAAAAGTCTCTATTTCTAAATCTGCCACACTCCTACATCGCTACATGTATTCAGTACGTGCCGCCTTTAGGGTATTAACTAATAAGTTCGAATTCTCAGATATCCATCCAATTCGGTTCTATCAAAACCACCGATATATATATACCGGGTGATCCTTTTTGTTCTTGCAGATTTGTTTTAAAAGAAGCCGTGAAAGCTACACTTATGCGGTTTGTGCGAGTGAGGTATACGCCCGGGGGGGCATTATGTAGTTTGCTAATCTTTCCGATAAGTCGGATAATTAATTAAAATTCATCAATTAACTTTTACTTAGTGAAAATAGACATATGTTTTCAATTAGAAACTTGTTGAGCGTCGTCCAAAACCCCTAAACCAGTAATTTTTAGAAAGACTTTGAGCGCGTGTGAAGCGCAGTAGTGCGCTGAAGTTACCACTTGTGGACCAGGTTCAAGGCTGGGGCTAGATAAGAGACGGAAAAATTGCGCGGGCGCCTTACCGAAACCGCTAGCCTCGTACCTGCTCCACTTGTGGTAACTTCAGTGCACTACCACGCTGCTCAAGCGCTGAAAGTCTTTCTGAAAATGACTGATTTAGGGGTTTTAAACAACACTCAGCAAGTTTCTAATTAGAACCATATGTCTATTTTCACTGATTAAAAAGTTAATTAGTAAATTTTAATTAATTAGCCGACTTATCCCAAAGATTAGTCACTCACATAATGTCCCCCTCGGCGTATAACTCACTCGCACAAACCCCATAAGTGTGCTTTCATGGCTTTTTTTTTAAACAAATCTGCAAGAATAAAAAGAAACACCCTGTATATATAATATGCATGCTCGGGCTGAGAGCGGCGGAAGGAACGAGAAAATGTCCGAAGGGTTTCCGAGTTTTTTTTTTGTTGTGTTTTTTTCATGCCGAGACTCTTTTTCGAACCGAGTGGCAGCCGCCGGCACTGCCACGCAACTTAGCAAGACAAGAGAAAAAGCCAAGGAGAAGGATGCCTCGTCGTCGAACGCGCGAACGCACTTGGCCTCTGATGACAGAGCCGCCCTCGTCCGACAGACAGGGAGTGCCATTTCTGCCTCCTTCGCCTCAACCTTGGGAGTTGCCCTGCTTCCAATTGTCAATGCCCTGGCCGGTCTTGCCCCAAACGTCCAGCAGTCTCAGCAGTCCCTGCCGCAGAACTCTGAACGCGAGTTATTTGAACGTCAGCACGATAAGCTCGAACATCCACAGACGCGCCAAAGATCGCTTCCAACATCGTCGGAGTCCTCCCCCTGCTTCCGCCGGAGGTATGGCTTCTACGGGAATCATTTCTACCAGAGCCACCAACGCGATTCGACTACCTCCGGTGGAGCCCCCATCGCCCATTCTCAGAGCGAGGGTCCGTCAGGCCTAAGACATTCTGAGCGACCTCGCCCAGAACACCAGAAGTTTGTCAACGACAGATGTTCACGAGATCCGGCATCTCCACCCGTATCGGTTCTACTGGGACTCCATGCTCCCCGAACACCAGCACCTCATTTTTGAATGAGTGGAACTCTTCCCCATCGTCGCAAGAGGGAACTGGAGGACGGCTATCTTTTACCAGACATCCAAGCTCGAGTCCGAGGTTTCCAAAGAGCTCCCCGACCAGCTACCCAACCAGCCTCGACGCGGACGCCGCATGTCTCGTGCTTCCGCGAGCACCAGCTACCGCCCAGGCACTAAGTCCAAGAGGGCCCCTAATCCTAAGTGAGTCCGGCAGCTACCCTCGGTCTTCGAGACCCACCAGTGCCGTCATCGACGGCATGGTCGTCTCCTCGACGCTCCTGGATGTTTTCCCGGTCGAGGACGTTCTCGCCCATGCATTTAGCGAAGCTTGCGTCTCGGCCGACCTTGCCCTTGCTTGATATTGTACCGAAGAAGACGACACATTGGATCCGGACTCGACGGCCACCGCCACCGAGCGAATCCTGCAGAGTGGCTCAGCAGGACCGACAGTTTCATCGAGCCCCACGCCGATGACGACTCCTTCGACGCCTACGATGGCGGGGAGGAACGCCGCACCAACACTAAGGAACACACTACAGACAAACAAAGCGACGTCGAAGACTCCAAGTCGAACCTGGGTAGCACTGCCTACAAGTCGAAAGCGACGGGACCTCCGCCGCCAATCCACCCAACTGGCACCTCAAGTCGACTGGGCAGTGTTTAGTGAGGCATATAGTTTTCACGAACCGCCCGACTGCGGCGCACTTTCCATTCGCTGCAAAAAGGCTTCTTGCTTTACGGCCCGACCCCCTCTCCCTGGCCAGGTTCCCACGATCGATGCCGCCGTAACCAACATGTTGGCGGCATTATCGAACGCTCCTCACGTGGTCCGTACCTCAACCCTGTCTTCGTCGTATCCAAGTCAGCCACCGAGACCCACTCTGTTTTAGACTGCGCCGCACTTACTTCTTACCTCCAGGCACCTCAGTTTCGCCTTACTCCGCTACCCCAGGCCATCAAAGTAAACCCTCTTCCCGCCCCAAGCGCATATGGTGAAGCTTGACCTTGCCGAGGCCTTTTACCATATCACGCTTGATCCCTCCTCCCGTAACCTGACAACAATTAGACTAGGCCGCCGTTACTGCCGTTTTTGCCATATGCTCTTCGTGATACGCCCGGTGCCGTTTTACATGCAGCTCTTAGCAACAGCCATTTCCAGGGAAATACGCGCCCGTGGACTCTGGGCTTGGTCTCCTATAGAAAACTTCTTGTGCGCCCATCCCGACCCAGACAAGTTGACGTCTACGGTGCTCCTCCTCGTGCAGGACTTGTTGCGGTGGGGGTTTCGCTTAAACCTGAGCGACACGAGCAGAGCCCACGCGACGCATGAATTTTCTTGCGTTCAGGCTCGACACAGCCGAGGACACCATTTCGCAGACGCCAGAACGGCTCCAAGCCTTTCCTCACTCGCTGGAGCGTCCGCTTCCCCTCAAGGCACTCAGGGGGCGGCGGGCTACTTGGCATTTTACTTTCCTCTCTATGGCTCTGTGTTTTTTTTTTTTTCGTCTTCGTCCCCTGTTTGACAAAGCTTGAAACCAAATCATCCTTTCACTCAACTGGCTTCCCTTTCTTCTACGTGTTTGCCGACTTTGCCGCACTGCCAACCTCTCTCCCTTCCTCCCGCTACCCAACAACGCATGGGCAGATTCCTCCGGAGTCGGTTAAGGCGTAGATGTTCGGGACTGTGCGCAGGCAATCATCGGCCCTCTGCCGAGGCCAATATACCTCCGGGAAGGACTCGCCGTGTTATGGCGCCCGTGTATTGCCGAAAAAAGGACTATTCTACACACGGAGAACAGAACTTTGGCTCTCGCGCAGCGCCGCGGCCATGGACGAGGTTTGCCTTGGGGCTATTGCCAGTGCCATTTTTCTTCATTTATTTATTTATTGACATTTATTGAAACCTCGGGGAACCTTTCGGACGTGCCCTCGATCTTTCCGCCGCCCTCAGCACGAGAAGGAAAGTACGTCTCGCGCCGAGAGCGTGAGGACTGGATGGCCCGCCGGCTCGCCATCGAGTGTCAAGCGCGCAACGGCAGGTCGGCGGGGCTCATGACCGACGGTACCCATTTTATTGACATATCTTCATTAAGAGAAAGAAGAGAAACGGCACTGGCAATATCCCAAGGCAAAGCTCGTCCATGGCCGCGGTGCAGCGCTAGACCCAAAGCTGTGTTGTCCGTGTGTAGAAGAATCCCTTTCTCGCTAATGCAAGCGCACCAGAGCATGGCGAGTCCTTCCCAGTGGTATATTGGCATCGGCAGAGGGGCTATGATTGCCTGCGCACAGTCCCCTACAAGTACTCCAAAACCGACTCCAGGGGCATCTGCCCATACGCTCTCGCTGGCCGATCACAGGATCGGCCAGCGAGAGACGTGCGCTTCGATAACCATAGGCAATTGCTTGGAAATAGCAAACATGACGTAGGTGTAACATGGCACAACAACGAAGACTAAGGAAAGGAACGAACAAAATATGACATATGTTTACAGCTTTCTATGTTGTTCGTTCCTCTCCCTAGTCTTCCTTTTTGTGCTATTGCATTTACAATATGTTTGTCTTTCACCAACTAGCCCAGCTCTCAATCTTATGTTTACTTTCTCCCACTAGCCCAGCTCTCAATTTTATTACTATATTTCACTTAGCAGTATTTTACTAGAGGATGACTATATTTCTGCTCCTTCCTTTAGAGTGGGCGAAGACTCGTCTGCATGTGTTAGGTTGAAATCAACTATAGCGACGAGAAGGTGCGAATGTTTTTTCCGGCACACAGTGGGAACTTTCTTAGGGTTGTTTACAAACGCTGCCGAACAACAAAGTGGTAATGTTTATTTTAATTTTTATTATATATACAGGGTGCACGCGGGCCCGTCCGACGGCAGAGGTCTGTGCACCCTGGTCAGGAAGGGTCTCACCTTCGTCGAACATCGACTAAGCAACGTCAGGATCGAACACACGCTCACCGAACTCATACCGACCAAGCAAAGAAAAAACAGCATCTTCATTTTGAATATCTACAGTAACCCATCGCAGAGACTGCAGAGGTTCAAAGCCATTCTTCACAAGGCAAGCACGACGGCCGGCCAGAGCACGCTGGTCGCGTGCGGCGACTTTAATGCTATGGATCCGGCGTGGGGCTACGTCAAGAGTAATGCGAAAGGCAGAAACCTATCCCACGATGCGGCGGAGCTCGACTACACACTCATAACCGACCCGGCTCTCCCAACGAGAATGGGCAACTCCGTGTCCCGAGATACCACCCCTGACCTCACGTTCGTCAAGAACAATGAACCGATCACGATCACGTGGAGGAACACGGGGATGGACCTCGGCAGCGACCACATGATAGTGGAAATCGTCATACCGGAGCAGAGCAGTGCTAATGTCAGGAAACATACGTGGATCGATTGGACCGCATTCAGAGATAACAGAAATCAGGAGGCGGAAGAAGAGACCGAAATTGATGACATCGAAACATGGACCAACAAGATCATTCAAGACGTTCAAAACTCAACCAAGAACATAGAAACAGACCTCGAAACGAACACAATGGACAGCCGACTGGCACACCTCATCGAGGCCAAGCAGTCCATACTCAACAGATGGAAAAAGCTACGCCTCAATCGTAGGCTACGGAAAAAAGTCGCAGAACTTAACAGGACAATCGAGGAATACTGTCGCACGCTATGCGCCCAACAATGGGACGAGATATGCAACGCCGCCGACGGACAGATGCATAACGGGAAAACGTGGAACTTGCTTAGGCATCTGCTCGACAAAACTAAGACTAAGTCACACCAAAGAGACCGACTGGCGAAACTCATCCATCGAGAGGTCACTAAACACGGAGCCGAGCATGTGACGAAGCGCATCAGCGACAGATACCTGCCGACTACTCCAACGGAGTGCCACGGGCCGTACGGGGGGCTACGCAACGAGCGTCTTGACAGAGACATAGACGTAGAGGAGGTTCGCACGGCGCTGCAAGACCTCAACAGCAAGTCGGCGGCCGGACCGGACCGCATCACCAACAAAGCACTCAAGAACCTCGACGACAAATCCATCGAAAGTCTCACGAGCTACTACAACAAATGCTGGAAAACGGGAACGCTGCCGACGCAGTGGAAGAAGGCCAAGACTATCCTGATCCCCAAGCCGGGCAAGCCACCAGACACCGACAACCTCCGACCCATATCGCTCACGTCTTGCATGGGCAAGGTGCTGGAGCACGTCCTGCTCAAGAGGTGGCAGGAATACCTCGAGAAAGAGGACCTCTACCCGGAAACGATCATCGGCTTCAGGCAGCACCTCAGTACCCAAGACGCAATGATTCAACTCAAGCACCAGATCATCGACGGCAACACCAGCGACAACAAAGCGATATTGGGACTCGATCTGCAGAGCGCCTTCGACAAGGTGAGGCACTCGGCGATCCTATGCCAAGTCTCGAAACTCAACATGGGAGAGAGATCATACAAATACATCAAAGATTTTCTCACGGACAGAACTGCCGAGCTCAGAGCGGGGGATCTCCAAGCGCAAGAGAAGAAGCTGGGAAGCACAGGCACACCTCAAGGATCAGTCATCTCGCCGATGCTTTTCAACCTGGTGATGATAGGAGTGGCCGAAAGGCTCGGAAACATCAAGGAAGTTCGACACACGATATACGCGGACGACATAACGCTGTGGGTGGAAGGGGGCAGCGATGCCCACATCGAATCCACTCTACAGGCGGCTGTCGACGCGATCGAAGACCACCTTGACGGAACGGGGCTCAGGTGCTCGCCGAGCAAGTCGGAGCTCCTTGTATACCCGCCCGTCAAGCACCGCAAACCCAAGAGCAGCCCGAGAAACTACGAGGCAATCAAAGTGAAGAGCAGAGAAGGAAACGAGATCCCAAGAGTCACCAAGATCAGAATCTTAGGAATGACGATCGAGACGCACGGCAGAAACGGTGACACTGTCACCCGGCTCATAGCGAAAGCGGCAAACGCCACGAGACTACTCAAGCGAGTCACGACCAAGAAAAGTGGAATGAGGGAAGAGAGCCTGATCAGACTCATCCACTCGTTTGTCATATGCCACGTACACTCTAAGAAAAAAGGGAGCGCGACTTAGTCCCTCGGGGGACTAAATGCGCTGCCACCACCATTAGTCCCCTAGGGGAGCAACTGTAACGGGAGCAACTGTTGCGCCCCGTCAGTTAGTCCCTCGCACTAGCACCGTTGGGACTAACTGTTGCACCCTTTCAGTTACACCTCGAGGACCAACTGTTAGGCCCTTGCACTTGGTCCTTTGGGACCAACTGTTACACCGTTTCAATTGAACCTCGAAGACGAACTGTTAGACCCTTGCGCTTGGACCCCTGGGACTAACTGCTACACCGGTTCAAATGAACCCCGAGGACTAACTGTTAGGCCCTTGCACTTGGACCCCTGGGTCTAAACGTTGCGCCCTTGGATTTAGGCTTCTGGGACTAAAGGTTTATTTTTTTCATTTGGTCCCGTGCCACAAATCTCCCGAAACGAAATTGTGGAGTTCAGGTTAAAAGTAGCTTTATTGCCTCGTAGATACACATCGCATTCAAGGATGACTGAAGTCAAAGTTCCAGGGCGGTAGAATCCACGATAAGGCCAGATTCCGAAGAGCGCACTTGCGTCGACGATGGCTTGGACACTGGGACGTCTGCCCAAGTCGGTCGTGGTCCCAGCACCGCTTATTGGGGCTCCGGCAGCTTCTTTCCTGTTTGCGAGGAATTTGGATTATTAGTAACAGGGCAGCATTAATACCGAATCGCTTGACAAATATATGAGATATAAGTTATAACACACGCATAATAAACTAACAAATAGGCTGCATAAGTGATACAATGGTTCACATCCAACACGCAGTCTGTTGACAGCAGACCAGCGCAATATTGATTTTAGTAGACCGTTCGCTGCGAATTACAGACCCAGCGCGTTCGTGCTCAAACTATGCTTCAAAGTGACGGCATGATCTCCCGCCATCAACGCGAAAGTCTAGTGTACAATCGAATAAATGTCTCCATTAATGCCGGTTCTCACACGCAGCGAAGCGCTGATGTAGCGCTGCTCACGTGTCATGAGCTACTTTTCGTCTGCCGTGAGCATGAGTTTTGTCGGTGCGATACAAAGCTTTTGACCGATCCCGTCAGCACGCGCTTAGCGCAAGGTCAGCGTTATGCCTGTAGCGCTCCGCTGCATGTGGACAGGCGTTTATGGTCAAGCGATCCTGCCAGGGTCCGCGAAACACACACACACACAAAAATAAGCCATCGGTAGAACTGGCGTTTCGCTCGATACGATAGAATATGAGGTCTCTGTGCCGCATAACAAAATCAGCAACCGGGGTGCCAAAAAGAATAGAGCATGGCGCGCGCTTTGCAAGCTAGAGAACGCGCTCAAAGAAAACACTTTCTGAAGCCACAGTTAATAAATACACCATAAACAGAAGCACTTCGACATACCTTAATCGAGTTCCCTTGGCTTGCGACGTCAGAACAGATCAAGTGCAGTGCTTCAGTACCGCGAATCCAAACCCGATCCCGGCATGATCGGAGACGACACAAGGCGACCAGCCTCCGACGAAGGCTGTATTTCGACTTTCAACTTACTAAAAACAGGTTCTTTTCAAACAAAGACACTTCCCGTTTTCCCGACGGACCCTATCTGACCAACGCCCAACCCTCCGCGTGTACAAGGAGCAAAGAATGCGGGGTAGGGGATTGGGGGGAGGGGGCGGTGCGCGCAGAAGATAATCTCTTTTCCCACTCCCACTGCATACGACACAAGGACACCGAAGAGCTCCAAGGACGGGAGACGGTCGCCACTTTCAACACGCCGGTCGAGTGACCTCAAGCAGACACTTTTTTTTCTTTCTTTTCTCTTTCTCTCTTAAGCATTTTCAACTTTCTCAAGTGGCTTTTTTTTTTTTTTTTTAGTTTGCATTTGTTTTGTATTAGTAGGGTGCTGCCAGGTGTGACGTTCCGGGCGTGGTTCGTTCTTCGTAGTTCATCTGGATTGTTTTGGAAACAGCGACGACGATGGCATGAAGGCGTCTGGATACTGCCCCTGAATGTGCTCTTTAAGTGGAACGTGCCGTGCATCAAGTGTGTCGTTGCGGATTTTAGTTCGACATTGGACTACCCAGAAAGGTTTGTCACACAGAGACGGAGGCGCGTTCCCACCGGCGATGCGATCTAGCCGCGCGATAACTTCCATCGCAAAAGCGACCATCGCGGGCAAAAAGCGACGCGATTGGAGCAGTCGCTTCTCGACTCAACTTTTTTGCGATGCGATCTAGTCGCGGAGCGGCTGAGCAAATCAACGGCGTTCGGAGCGAGAGTTTTCGACAAACGACTCGCCAACGAAGGCGTTGGACTCGCTTATCGCACACGCCGGTGTGACCATCTAATTTTTTTTTGCGATGCGATCTAGTGGCATCGCGCGACTGCTTATATCGCCGGTGGGAATGCTCAGTTTTAGGGATTGAAATGACCATTTATTCTGACTGCGAGACTCCGGTGTTAAAAGCGCGGCTTCTACAAACTGTTAAGTTTCATTTTTAAAAGAAAAAAAGTGTTAGTATTTGGAGGTGTTGCGTTTGGATGAATGCACATTTTTTGCGCGAAGGCAAATTACGTAAATGGGACTTCTGGAATGTCAACAGATCGTTTTTGAGGAGATAGTTGGAAGAAGTCGAGTCAACACATTCGTTCACTCGCTTTCACACAACGCGTGAAGCTCTACCATGCAATGTCTTAACGTTCCTGGCACATTAAACAAATTCGCCAGTTTCGTCCGAGTTTCGTCAACACTTTCAGCCGTGCTGGGCTGAGTCTCGCCGATCCCCAAGACAAGCGAAATAGCATCCGTCCTCCTGGCGAACATTCCGTTTGCATTCGGGGACTAAATCACACAGATGCACCCTGTCTGAGGGGGACTAATGGATGCTTTTGCTCGCGCACGCCTATCGGTTGGTCCCAGTCGACCGCAGGCTTTTGCGCACGGTACCTAGCTTGAGCCAGATGGTCCTTTCGAGGAGCAACTGGGAGTTCAGAGGACCAAATGCTGCCGTTAGTCCCTTGAGGTCAACTTTTTTCTTAGAGTGTAGCGTACGTGGCGGCCTACCACAAGTGGAAGAAGAGCGAGAGAAACAAGATAAATATACTCATCCGTAGGGCCTTCAAGACGGCAATGGGACTGTTCGAAACAACGAGCACCAACCGCCTCCTGCAGCTGGGGGTGCACAATACGCTAGAGGAGATAGCGGAAGCCCAACGCAACGCTCAACTCGAAAGACTATCTACGACCAAGGCCGGCCGGAAAATCCTGGACAACCTGGGAGTTGGCTACCAAGGCAGGGAGCGGACGCAGCTCCCCATCCCCGATGAGATCAGGAACAACATCAGAGTGGACTCTATACCGAGGAACATGCACCCGGAGTATAACAAAGGGAGGAGAGCGGCGAGAGCCAGGGCCCTGATAGATCAGCACGCGGCCGACGGACACGCACGCTACGTGGACGCGGCTGAATACGCCAAGCTACACGGTTTCACGACAGTTGTCGTCGACGCGACCGGCACCGTTCGCACGACCGCCAGCACGAGATGCACCAAGGCAGAACAAGCGGAGGAGGTAGCCATCGCCCTGGCCATCGCCGACCGCGACTGCCACACGGTGCTGTGTGACTCGAGGCAGGCGGTGAGGAATTATGCCAAAAGCATGATATCGAAGGAAGCGGTGCGCATACTGCAGTCAACCAAGAACGACGGCGGCAGCAAACAAGTGAGAATCAAATGGTTCCCCGCGCACGCGGGCGAGGCGTCGGATCGAAACGCCAACCACAACGAGACAGCACATGCCGAGGCGCGCGCGCTAACGGACCGCGCCTCGACCGACTGGCCGCTGTGGTTCAGCACCAAGGACCGAATGACCGACTACAACGAGATAACCAAGGCTTTCCGCCTAGCTCGCAGAACTCTCCCACCACCTTGCTCGGGGCTCAGTCGAGAACAAGCCGTTTTATTTAGACAGCTGCAGACGGGCTCACTCCCCAGCCCGTTGCTGATGCATAGAATGTATCCCGAGGCGCACCCGACAGACAAGTGCAGAGTCTGCCGAAGGGAGACGGCCGGCTTCGCACATATGCTGTGGGATTGTATCAAGTACCCGGAAGAATCAAAGTCTGGGAGCATCCCGCTGCGACTTGAAGCAGCCGCAGGGAGCGATAATCAAGAACAACAACTCTGGGCCGTCCAGCAGGTCATCGGGGCGCTGGCCCGGCAGGGACCCAGCGCCCAGAAGACGATGTAGGCCCCGTCCGGAGCGCGCGCGCAAGCGCGCGTTTTACTGCAGGCTAAAATAAAGTTTACCCACTCCACTCCACTATTATATAGAATGCGATGACGATGATCCCCGAGTAGCGGAAGTAACCTGTATGCGCGGGTATCAAACAATATAATGTAAGTAGATGTAATGATCAAGCATTGGAGCTAGAAACGCGTGCAACTTTTGACCAATTAAAAAAAAAAGTATTAAGACGTTTCTAAGTTTCTTGAATTTCATGTTGTTGGATATCTGGGACTATTTTAAACCGTTTATTATAAGACAGCTGTATAGCATTTCAATTAAAGAAATTATTGGGAAAACCGAAATAAACCGGTTTTTAGGAACTTGTAACTGGTAACCGAAACCATAAAAATTAAAACCGTAAAAAACCGAAACGAAACCGTTATCAAGAGGAAGCCGTAACCGTAACCGTAACCGAAACGTTATATTTTTTGGTTTGAGTCCCTGCTATTTATACCGAGGTTCATGTAGGACAGTGTGGCTTGGGTTGCCGGCTGGACGCCGCAAAGCGGCGTGTACGGGGCGGGGAAAAGGGGAGGGGGGGGGGGGCGTTAAGTGGGTTAATAATTTTGTAATTAGTAGCTGCATACTGCCGCCGCAAAGCGGCGGCGCGTACGCAGGCGCGCTTCGAGTGTACATACATGCGCCGTCAAAATCCGAAATTTAAGTTCCCGCGCGTAACCGAGCAGTCAATGCGGCGTGAGCGTCGTTGCTATGGGGTCAATCGTCTGTGCCATAAAAATTAGAGATGAGCCGAATCTACCGAACTTCAGATTCGGCAAAGTCCGGAACTTGCCGAAATTTTGAAGGAAAGTTTGGCAAAGATTCAGCAAAAATTCGGCAAATGTCTGAGCACGCGCGCGAACGCGACGGGGCCATGGATTGCAAATGGACGCCGAGCGGTCGCGCTGTTACCATCTATACAGTTTAGTACACTGTTAGCGAAAATGTAATATTTCGCCTGTTTACACCCCATTTTCACTCGTTAGCATATTTTTACACGCTCTGCTAGTGATAAATCGTCAAAAAATTACTTGAGGTAGTAAAAATTGGTGTTTCGGTTTCGGTTTACACGACTAGGCGTGTAAGCAACACTGAAAACACCCCAGCCCAACACCCCAAAACGTCGAGCGCCATGTTGCTTCTGCCTTGAAGCGGTACCGCGGTACGGCGGACGTAGCAGCCGAAGGTGAGTGTTTGATTTTTTTTATCAAGTTTGTATAGAATGTAGCACGTCTCAGATTTTTATTACATGACATTCAAGAACGTTAGATTTGCTTTGAGCAAGCCGGCTCAGGCGTTAAGCCCGATTCACAGAACCGGCGTTTAGCCACCCCGTCGATTGGAAACGACTCGACTGCTCGCCGGGGTTTTTGCGCGAGCTTTCGCTCGGGCGCTGTGAACCCTATGAACTGTGGCGCTCAAAGCTAGCACAATTAGGCACGGCTAGCGTACCGGTGGAAGCTGCAGAGAGCGGAAACCGAAGACACCGTCGCATAAGAGTGGCGAAGCCGCGATCCTGCGCTGATCGTTGTCTCGCCGCTCTCTCCGGCAATATCGACACTTCGCTGCTGGGTGTCTCGTATTTCGACGTTTTAGAGAAACTTGGCATTGGCAAGCGCGAGGAGTCTCTATATCGTTTTCTCCGTCGCCTGCGTGGAGGAAGCACGGTGGCGATAGAAACATATGCTCATGCAGTCAGTCAACTTGGACAATCCCCCTGTTCCCTCAATCCTATCGCATTCTTTGACTGCGTTTGTGACAACAACGTTTCCCCAGTGTGAAAGCTTTCAGTCACAACGGGCTACAAACTGGGTTGTGCATTGCATGTAGCCCTGAGGGAATTCTTCGCCGGAGACACCAGCACATTAGTTTCATTGGTAAGGTGACCGGCCACTAACGTGTTTGGCAAATGAAGCGATCACGGGTAAGTAGAAATGCAAACAATGTTGAATGAATATTAAGGTGGTTGTAGCCAGAGCCTGCCAGTTGAAATCAACCTTTAACAATATAGTCTGCGGTAACTTCTTTTTGCACTTAGGATTGCAATTTTAAACACAAAGCCACTCCACATAGCTGTCAAAAATCGTGTAAACAACAGCAGTCATCGTCCCCGGTTCGGATGAGCGAAGCCTTAGCTTGATGAAAAGAATGGCGGTCTATACTTCTTGGTTGTTTCAATCACAACCTCGCACAGCTGAACAGACAAACAAATCAAGGAAATATATCCCGCGCTGGCTTGCAAATCACAGCACACAAGCAGGGTACATAGCAGAGCAGAAAACACTGGCAATGAGCACACGGAGGCATGCAGCTTCCTTTCTTTTTCCCTCGGCGAATGATTGGTTTGCTGCAGCATTCCGTAAGCACGTCGACATTCAAAAGTTGAGCCTGATCTGTCTTGCAGCGCCTTGCGGAACGGCAAGTATCGCCCACCATTCCACAAGGCACTGCAGGACTCGCAAATGTGTGAACAGTGCTTTGCAATAAAGGCCATGATCGGGCAGCAGGTGCCCATCTAAAGACATTTAATATTGATTGGCATTGAACTAACCTTTGGGCTTCATCACGTAGCAAGCATGGGTGAGGTATAATTCAAGAACATTTAATGTTCGACGAGTTTAATACGTTGTGGTGCTTTCCCATCTGTTTTGGTGTCACGGAGTGGGGTTCAAATTAATAAAAATAATTCAATGATCCACTCTGAGAATAAACGAGAAATTACGGGAAAAGAACAAGAGAGCTAAGTTCGACCATTGACTAGCGCTAGGTCCACGCCTGGTGTATAATCAGTAGAGAAAGATGATGACACAGGGAGGATAAGCAAACAAAAGATTAGATTTAATAAAGTGAAAAACTAAGCTGTACACGGCAATAGAGCACTCAACACAAACCACACTCCAGCTCAAAGCTATGGAGCCCTGCGAGCCAGAAACTAATACTAAAAAGACTCGACGCTCATAAAACCGGAATAAGCCAACAAAACAGTGACGAAAACCCGACACTAACAACGAGAGCAAACCGAGATGGAGCTCGAACGTTACCGCTACACACATGGGATAATCCCCCAAAACAGTCGCGACAGAAAGTAGCGCTGTGTAAAAATCTTCCCAACATTCAACAATTCGTACTTCAGAGCCAGAGAATGCAGTAGACAAGTCCCAGAAAACCAGGCTTAGCTTTCCGGTAGGTGCCGAGTCCAGAGCAGTCCGTAGTCTGGAGTTGTCGGCCGAAGAACGGCGTCTCGAAGTCCAGCGGTCCAATTAGAGGCTTGATCAGGTCGACACCGCGCACCACACAGCCACACACGCTTCAGCACAACAAACTCAAACACTTGTCCGACAGGCAGGGCAGAAGCCAAAAATTACACGTTCCAAGACTCATCTGCAGGGAGTAACCGCGTTGAGTAGCGACCCGGCCAGCTCTGGGGTTGGACTACCTTCTTTGTTCCCGAACCCCCTTTTATAGGCTCGTCTACCGACCAACCTCCCGTTTCCCCGCCTTTCGGGTCAGTCAACTTTCAAGAAAAACAAAGCTACACAGCAACGACCCAAATGGCAAAACCTATTACATTTTTCAGACAACCAAACATATGTGCCCATCCATTCCCCCGTACGAGTCCAAAAACATCAATTATCGCCGATACATAGAACACGACAGGCGGCAGACTGAGCAAAGCCGCCGCCTTCAAAAAGCACGCTAGCTAGCGTAAACATCTTTGTATCCCGGCGGCGCCCCTGCATGTCAAATCGGCACCATACGCGAGCCAGCATACGCACCCCTCCGTCCGCGAGGTCAAAGCCACAAACTGTGACCTGGGATGATCTACGTCGCCCGTTAACAAAAACCCATTCCGCAAACGAGCAAATTCGTTGGGGACTTAGAAAGGAACTACGACGGGACGAACTGAGATCAAAAGTGGCACCACACTCCCCCTTTTTGACCGTACCAACACTTAAAGTTGTCCAAAAAAAAGATCATAAAAGTATTTAAAAAAATGAAGAGAAGCCTGAATTTGTGACACCCGGTTTCTCCATCCTGTGTTTTTTTTTGTGCTTTTTCTATTACGAAGCGAGACATTATTCCAGCCGTAGGCACCAGATGTAATTCCCGTCTGCGATCATAAGATTATAGGATCCTAACTGCCGGCAGCTAAGTGTCAATTACATCCGGCTTGTGCATACAGTGCAACATCTTTTGCTATTCAGCCGATCATCACTTTACAGCCTGGGTATCTGTTCTTGTAAACGACAGTAGTGCTACATGTTAAACGGCTCTAAAGCGATACAGCAAACTCACATCTCATTATCTTTTAGCTGAATAAACTGTTTGTTTGGTTATGCTTGTTATCCAATTTTTGTTTTAAATTTAATTTTCTCATATAAACACCTTACATTGTAGAAAAAAAATATTTTTATAGTACGGAGGTGTCCATATTAAGAAGACATGACTGTATCATCTTTGAAACTAGTTTGCCACAGCCAGTGTTATAATATGTATTGATTTTTTATCAGTGCCTGCCTTTCCTTGCCCCTTGTGAGGACGACTGAGAAAGCGACTTTGCGCCACAACGACGGATGGCAAGTGTCCCAAGTGTCGTCACCTATAGTGGTCATGTGCTATGTGTTCGCAGCATTGTAAGCCGACCGTGGAGCACTTTCAAAAGGGAACTTTCGCCATGTGCACAGTATGGCCGTGTACAATACGGGGCACGTACAGTCAGAAGAATTATGAGAGGGAACATGCGGGCGCGTGTCACTTGGTACAGGCAGAGCAGCCTAGCAAGTGTCATGCTTGTGCACTGAGGGGCCCTGGTTTGAAGAGCCGAGGCAGAAGTTTCAGCGGCGGTGTCACCGCCCTGGCGGCTTGTCGCCGAAGCAGAAACGGGGTTAGCTAGCTTTGCTCGTGGCTGGCTTTGTGTAGTGTGTGTAGACCGGGAACGTAGGCTTATGAACTTCGGCAGCAAGAATACTACACGGCTTTGGTGTTTTGGTACGAGCAACAAACGTGACACTATCTGCTAC